TCTGGGAAACTCTGGGCGGCTGGTGATCACACCCCTGACTGACAGGTACCCTGCAGGAGAGGGGAGCGGGGTGGGCTTGCTGGCCCCGTGAAGGGGGTGGACGTGAGGGCGTGGGGCTGTGGAAGGCAAGTCGCCTGGCTGGCTGACCCCTTGAGGTCTTGCTGCCTCAGGTGCTACATGACACTGACCACAGCCCTCCACCTCCACCGAGGAGGGTCCCCGAAAGGCCCTGCAGGCACTGGCAAGACCGAGACCGTGAAGGACCTGGGCAAGGCGCTGGGCATGTATGTGATCGTGGTGAACTGCTCAGAGGGCCTGGATTATAAATCCATGGGGCGCATGTACTCCGGCCTCGCCCAGGCAAGTGAGGCACAGCTGGGAAGGGGAGGTCAGGCCCTCCCTCTGTTGAGCTCTGCGGGGTCCCCCGACTCACCCCCGCTGCTTCACCCCTGCAGACGGGAGCCTGGGGGTGCTTTGACGAATTCAACCGCATCAACATTGAGGTGCTCTCGGTGGTGGCCCAGCAGATTCTCTCCATCCTCTCCGCCTTGGCTGCCAACATGACGCGCTTCACCTTTGAAGGCCACGAGATCAACCTGGTGTGGTCTTGTGGCATCTTCATCACCATGAACCCAGGTGGGGCCCAGCAAGATTGGCCCCTGAGGCTTTGCAGGGGGTGGGGGTGCAGAGAACCTCCTCGGGGCTGCACCTCTGCCTCCCGCTGAAGTCCTTGTCCGTGGGGTGTTTCGGCAGGGTACGCAGGGCGCACAGAGCTGCCTGACAACCTCAAGTCCATGTTCCGCCCCATCTCCATGGTCGTGCCAGACTCCACCCTCATTGCCGAAATCATCCTCTTCGGAGAAGGCTTCAACAACTGCAAGGTATCAGCCGGTCGTTGGGCCCTGCGGGAACCCCGCAAACCCTGGTGAGGCGTTCCCCCCACCTCTCGTCTCCTTCCCAGGTCCTGGCCAAGAAGGTCTACACTCTTTACTCCCTGGCCGTGCAACAGCTCTCCAAGCAGGACCACTATGACTTTGGCCTCCGGGCCCTCACCTCTCTGCTCCGCTACGCTGGGAAGAAGCGCCGGATGCGGCCTGATCTTTCTGATGAAGAGGTGGGGCGAGTGGGGCTGCTGCGGGGTGGGGGGGACCGAGGGGC